AAGCCATGTGTAAATATATTTAAATAGGCATGCATAGTTTAGTTCAATTGAACGTGTTATTTATAACAATAGTAGTTTTTTTTCTTTTAAAAACATAGCTATTTATAATGCTCCCTAAATAATAAAAAAAATTACAGTGAAAGCAATGAAGATTTTGTAGGTTTTGAACGAAACTAAATAACAGTAAACCTTTTTTTTTATTTACGGTATTTTCTTATTTTGATGTTTTGAGCTCTTTTGTGTTTAGAACAATATATACTAATTTTTAAAGTATCAAATTGAATTTTTGTTTAATAAAAATCTTTCAAATGCGACTGTAGCTTTTTTTTTCACCAAAAACTTTGTCTTCAAAATAAGGGTGCGTCTTATATTCCGAAAAATACGGTACTCTTTAGTTATGACCTATAATATAATTAACTTTCTTTCGATCAGAAGTTCTTAATAACGAATAACTATTATCTTATTTCGCAGGTTTCCTATCTTCGTTACTTATAGATGTGCACAATTCTATGTTTATATGTTTATTATATACTGACTTACAAAAATTCAGTTTTATTTCTTTTTCATTATGTGTTATATATATGTGTGTGTAAGTTTAAGATAACAATGGACATATTGATCCATCTTGGCTGTCCCATCCACTATGCTAAGCTCTAAAAAAATAAAATGCTCAAATCTAGCTCTTATAATTCAAATATTTATCAAGCCTTCCCTTAAGTCCCCATAAATTAAGTGTACCTACCACATCTGAAGGCAGCCCATTCCAAAGGTCAACCAATCTGTTAGAGAAATGAAGCTGTCTTAGCTGAATATGACTCCTACACTTCCAAAATGTACATTTGTATCCCTAAATCTTACTATTCTCCCCACTAAATATAAAAAAGATGAGGCGTCATCATTATCAATTCCTCAAACTTTAAACACCTCAATCAGATCCCTTATAACGCTTCATTTTTCAAGAGGAAACAATTTCACAAGTCTTAACCTATCCCCGTTTGACAATCTTTCTATCCCAGATATCATCCTAGTAACCCTCCTCTGAACCATTCCCAACACTTCATTTCATTTCTAAGGTAGGGAACTCAAGACTAAACACTCCAACTTTCGTCTTACCAATGACCTATATAATTACATTATAAACTCTTTAAGCATGTATTCAGTATTTCTGTAGATAGAACCTAAAATCCTATCTGCCCCACTACTAGCAACAGTACATTGCTTGGATGGCTTAAGAGATTGAGCAACACTTTTCTTCCATAAAACTTTTAAGGGTGTTCCAATCAAAATTATACTCATAATTAATCTTTTGGTACCACACATGCATTGCCATATATGTATTATAATTAAAACACATCTGCCATTTATTGGCCCAATTCACCAAATAATCTAAGTCATTTTGTAAGGTAGTAGCATCCTCCTAACAGCTAGCAACACCCAAAACTTTAATGTCATCAGCAAATTTAAATGTTCTATTGACCATTCCTTCATCTATATCATTGATGTAAAGCAAAAATATCAAAGGTTCTAACATTGAACCGTGATATTAATCCAGTTCGATTGAACTCCATTTATAATGACACTCTGCTTTCTTTCATTTAGCCAATTTTCTATCCACTGAGACAATCCATCGCCCCCCACCACACACACACAAATCTAGAGAGATAACGTTTTAATAAGTCTTTTTTGTCAAGCGTTTTCTGAAAATATAGATACACAATATCCTCATCTATATGAATAGTACTCACTTCAGAGAATGTCAAAAGGTTAGTAAGGCAAGAGTCTCCCTTACTGAAACCATGTTATCCAACATTATTTTAAACTGTGGTAAGTGAACTTGCAAAGCATCATTTATCGGATTTTCAAGACTTTTCCCACCACTGATGTAAGACTAAATGACCTATAATTACTGGACAATTTTTATTACCTCTCTTGAAAAGATTAGGATCATTAGCCAACTTCCAATCTTCTGGTACCTGCTCATTATTTAAGAACTTAGAAAAAAATAGTAGCAAGCAGCTCGCATATTCAGTCCTTAACCTCCTTCAAACCCTTGAGTAGATATTATATGGTCCAAGAGCTTTATCATTTTTTTAAACTTCCCAATTTTTTCTTAACAAACTCAGAATTAATGTTATCAGCTTGTTGTTTTTCTCTAGAAACTGTTCAGGATGAGGAATATTGCTTAAATCTTCATTAGTAAAAATTGAAGAAAAAGTAAAATTAAATAACCTAAACATCCATAATCATCAAATATTAGCCTCCCTGTATCATCATTCAAAGGCTCTACTCCAATCCTAACATTTTGCTTTCCATTAGTGTATTTAAATAAATCCTAACTATTAATTATTTTACATTTTCAGCCAACCTTTTTTTCATATAGTTTTGAGCTCCTAGTTCCCGATTGGTCAACTTTCTTGATTTCTTTATAATCCTGCAAATCTCCCATCATTGTAGTCACTATAAGCTTTTTATATTTATAATGTTTTTCTTCAGTTTTATCCTTTATACCCTTTGTATGCTCCCCAGTGGCACAGCGGTATGTGCTAGAATCCGGGTTTCGTTACTCGTGGTGGGCAGAGCACAGATAGCCCATTGTATAGCTTTGTGCTTAATTACAAACAATACCCTTTGTAAGCCAAACTGGTTTTTACTAGCAGCCACCCTTTTTTCTATAAGAAATATGCTTATCTTGAATATTTAATAATTTATTTAAAAGTTTTCCCACATTTTTTGTATGTGTGTGAATTTACAGCCCTTTTAATAAATCTCTTATTTTATATCTGTTTCAATATGCTGCAGCTTGAAACTGCTTATGCTATAGCCGCATAATACTGCTCTTAGCTAACTCACATGCCGGGAACGCAGTTTCTACTGCTGTACACTTGCTATTATATTAACATGGTACACATTCTCCTATGTTGGTGGTAACTTTTATGTATAACCTTATAGATTGTTACTTTACTACACTGTAAAAATTCGGTGTATAAACCACACTATCTTTATTTTGAATTCTACACTGATGTCTGCTTCACTGTATGTGTTTTTTTTTGTTTTTTTTTGCTTTTTCTTCTCTTGAAATAAAAAAAAATCAAATGTCCTACTAATAGTAACGCTGAAACAAATCTAAGATTACAACCCCACAGTACTGTGGGCTTCTAGAAGCAATATAGAGCTAAAAGCGCCATTAACACGAAAAACAAAATCCAAAGCAACAGCGTCTCATCAACACTGATTGCTCTGGCCTACTTGAGTACTACTGAAACCTGTCTTACCCAAGGGTTATTACCCCACTTGACATCTTTTCTTTCGCAAGTTATTAGTGAAAAGGGATTTAAGAGCATCGTGAATCATAAAATTGTTTTGTTTATCATTCAATATAATATCTTAGTAATCTCGTTCTGTAGTATGTTTACACGTGTACATGTGTGTCATTTATCGTTGTTGTTGTTTTTTCATAACGAGAGTAAAACTCATTATTCCTCTGCCTTTTTCGTATCACTTTATTTACGTCTTAAAAACCAAATTATCCTTTCATCTTAATAAGTGCTTTGTTTAATACATTCTTAATTCTTTTTTGTTCTCTCTCCATCACATTTACCTTATTACTCAGTGTTTATATCTGTCTTGAAACTTATGACTCAGTTATATTTATCTTATATATACTATTGTTCTGTTTGTCTTAGCCAATATTTCTCAAGTAAAACTTATGCATTACAACATTATATACCTCAGTTCATCTGTGACTTTTATCCAACAGTGGTAAAGTTTCATTCACACATTGAACAATTGTTGTTTTTTTATATAAAAACATCTCTCTCTTTTTGGTGTGGGTTTTGTTTTTATATTCATGATGTGGATTGTTTTCATTAACTCCTACTGACATATAGTACATATCAGTTTCTACACTATGCATTTAACACACATTTGCTTACGTCATTTGTCCGCACGATAACTGAATTGTACAAATAATAGATAGACTGGGTGTAAAGTAAATTTATGGCAACATTACAGTCTTAATTTTGTCGGAAATCCATATCACTTTGTTCCTGAACTCGAACTTGTGCGAACACATGGGCTAAATTCTACACTGATGTCTGCTTCGCTGTATATATATTGCTTTTTATCATTGAGGTGAAAAAAAAAATCAAATGTCTTGCTAACAGTAACGCGGAAACAAATCTAAGATTAGAACCCAACAATACTGTTGGGCTTCTAGAAGTAACCTAAAGCATTAAAGCACCATTAACACGAAAAACAAAATCGAAAGTAACAGCGTCTCATCAACACTGATTACTCTAGCCTACTCTGCTGTTCACACACTGCTTAGAAATTTGTGGTTTATATTCAAACTCTTTTGTGCCAAAATTACTGAAATAGTGATATTCTTAACTGGTTGGGCTGGGCGTGGACTAGATTTAATGTACTCACACTCTGAACCAAAATGTCCAGTGTTAGCATCCCGTTTCTGCAAAAATATTCAGCTAGTGGCTATCTCAAGGGAGTTGTTCATGTGTATTAATTGCCTAAGAGATTTCTATGAGTATAAAGTTTTCATCTCCATGATTTTCTGCCTGTGGATTTCGTGAATATGACGTTTCGGTCACTATGTTTTTGGTTTTCATCCTACATAGAGAGGTAGAGTGCGTTATATTAAAATGATTTACCACGTCGTTAAAAGTCCATGTCGTCACGATCGGTCATGCTCTAACTCACGACCGTGCATCTTGGTAATATCACTGCAGCGCAATTTCGATTGTAAAAAATTCCATTGTAAAGGTGTCATAACAAAGCACTCCAAATGTTTTCCATATTCCATCTAATTTATGAGGACGACGATTTCTTAGCGTCTGTTTCAACAGTCTAGCCACAGAACTCTATAAGCGATGCGTCTGGCGACTTGACTGGTGTGTCTTCGTATGAGAGAGCATGCATTATCCAGCTGCTTGAGGCGTGTGAACGAATATGTCGTGGAAGCTATTTATGTACGCGTGACTTGTGTCGCTTTTTCAGATGGAAATCCTTCTTGATTATATTGTGTAATGTTGCGTGGGTCGTGTGGACAGCTTTTGCCTCTGATCCCGAGAAAATAACAACACAAATGCCGCACCAGACGAGGGTATCCTTGCTATAGCCATGTAATTTTCAAAGAGAGGGTATAACACATATTAGATCAGGTATCCTCTCATTCAACAAGGATACATCATTTCCAAATATACTGAATACAGTGGGCCTTGTAAGCCAACGGTCTGTGTTAGCTAATAATAGTCAGCATCTGTTATCGGTTAGAAGAAAATATAATGACGAAAACCTAAACCATAGAAACAGAAAATCATATTGATTTTGAACAAAATAATGCTAAATTTTCTTTGTACGTAAGAAGTGAAATTGACGCAAATAAAATTGACACCGCACATTTGTCCTCGGTGATTTAATATCTAATCAATTGTTTAATACAATAATATATAATACAAACTATAAATATTCGTGGGAAATTCTATGTATTTTCATAACAATCAACAATTCAAACTTTCAGTTTTATTTTCTATGTTTTAAAATCAGTTGTTTTATATAATTAATGCTTACATTTATAATAATACTGAAATTCCAAATTGTTATCCTATGTATGTTAACAAATATATATTGGCATAACAACTGCCTAAATAATCACTTTTCCAAAGTATCAATACATTCAAAGATTGGAATATTTGCAATAAACATATTCTGAATTGATTTCGTAATTTGTATTTAGTCCAAGGTTACCCATTCCAAAATCGTTTGCCTCTATTTTAAGCCATTACTCGTAAATATCGTTTTTATAATGAACAGTTTTTGAAACTAGCATAAGACTACTGTGAGTGTGGTAGTTTATTATATGCAGTTAATTGCTTAGTTCTTTACGAAGTTGGTAAAATTGTTTGTTTTTCGAATTCAGGAAGACGCTTGGATAGATTAGTGCTGATGGTGATGTTGTTCCAGAATGTACATTAGACGTACATTTTGGTGATTTTCAATAAATAAAAACAATAAAAATATTCATAGAAGTGTAACTAATAAACACTAACTCAGGTGATTAGCACAATTATACTTTTACATTTAAAAAAGTTTAAAAATTTGAATACTATAAATTCTTTGAGCCGTGCTCAGTGGTTAACGTGTCGGGCTTTGTATCTAAGGTTCCGCGATTATCATTCCATTACCACCAAAAATAAATATTAACTCCAAACTTTTAGGCTATGTTTGCGTTATAAGAGTGATAATCAAATCTAAATATTCGCCTGACAAGAGTATTCCAGGAGTTGACGGTGAGCGGTATTAACTATCTGCTTTCCCTCTAGTCTAACACTTTGAAATTAGGGACGGCTAGTGCAAAATATCACTCGTGTAGCTTTGCGAAAAATTTAACAAACAAAAATAAATAATATTTCTGTTTATTATAAAAATTAAAACATCATTATTTTTTCCTAAGTTTCAAACTCTTTCCAATATTTTTACTTAAACAACTTTATAAAAAAAAACTAAATAACATAATTGATTTAATTTGAACTTAAGTATTTGAATTTATTGTTTTTCCACCAACGGCAGACAAAATCGCCTAAAATTAGCAGATAAATATCAGGTAAAGATTCATACAATTGTGACTGGTCTTAATAAACATAAAAAAATGCTGCATTCTGTTATATTTTTTTAACAATTGCCATTATCAAATATTAGAAATTAGAAAAGTTTTTCTTAACTTTTTTGTGAATATCATTTCGTAGAATTTCTGCGTGTGTACCTTATTGATTTTGTGTGAAAAACTTAAATCTATTATATACATATTACTAAATTTTATGTTCATTACAAAATAAAGTTAGTGTTTCTATTGTTATTTTTTATAAAAGTAATTTAGTGTACTGTTTAAAGCCTCAGGAAATCGGTCGTGTTCAACGAAGTTGGAATACAAAATCTAAAATGAAAAACAATGCAATAAGCATCCAGCATTCTCTATTTCGTCATTATATCACTGACAAATAAAATGATTATTCTATGTATTATTTTACTGACTACATTTCCGTAAATGTACAGACTTTTTTAACAGCTTTATTGTTGTTTCATTATAAAAATACCTACAGAAGGCCTCCTAACAAAAGTCAGTATATTAATTATCGTCTTTTAGTGAGTTAGCAGTAGATTTACGAACTTGCAATAATAAAATCCGAGGTTTGATTCCCTATGGTGGAGAGAGTAGATATAGCTTTTGCGCTAAAACAAACAAACAAAACCTTAACTCTCAATCTTGTTATCCACCTGATGTTAAACCTCATAAACTTTCTTAAAACAAGAAGTATGGAATTAATCGATGCTGAATCCATACAAATAGAAACTACATTCCTAAGAAATTGTTATTCATTGAAAATGATTGAATACCACTAATAACGCCAAAATGTAATCACTAGGCAAAACAAC